CAAGGCTTTATATATCTATGAATATTTGTAATATATCTCTACATTTAAGTGACACCTTTGCTGGATATAAAATACTGATTTTAAAGCCATATTCCTTCTATGCATTAAAAATATTTCATTGTTTTTTTACATCCAGCATAGCTTTCAAGAAGTCTGATGTGAGTTGATTACTGTTTTTGTGTAGGCAAACTTCCCTTTCTTTTAGAATTTTCTCTTTGACTTTGAAATTTATTAAATCTATGGAAGTATGGGCCTTTTCTTTTCTCTCCTTTTTATCACTCTGTAGAGTTTTGAAATCTGAGGTCATTTATATTTGAATAATTTGCCTCCATTATTTTTCTGAATATTCTCAATTTTATTTTTTATTCTTCTGGGATTCATATTATATATAATATGAATTATATAATATATGTGTTATGTATAATTAATGAAACAGATGTATGAAGATCTTAGGTTGCCTAGCATACATTCTATACATAGAAAGCATTCAAAATTGTGTGTAAAAATTTAAAAGTATTATGAATGTTGAATTAGTGAATATTATATCATATTATGAATTCAAATTATATATATGGTAGTTTCAAGTTTTTATTTAAATTCCAGTTATCATACAATGTAATATTAGTTTCAGGAGTAGGATTTAGTGTTTCATCACTTACATAAAACACCCAGGGTTCATTACAAAAAGTGCCCCTCTTAATGCCCATCAGCCATTTAATCAATTCCCCACTTACCTCCCCTTCAGCAACCCTCAGTTTGTTCTCTATAGTTAAGAGTCTGTTTTATGGGTTGGCTCTCTCTCTTTTTTACATTAATCCTTCCTTTATTTTGCTTAGGGGATAAATTGCATTGTTTGATTATTTTTTATTGTGCTAAAATACACATAGCATAAAATTTACCATTTTAACAATTTTATTTATTTAATATAATCTATTGTCAAATTGGCTAACATGCAGTGTGTAAAGGGTGCTCTTGGGGTAGATCTTCTGGGGTAGATTCCCATGGTTCACTGCTTACATACAACACCCAGTGCTCGTTCCAAAAAGTGCCCTCCTCAATGCCCATCACCCATTTCCCCCTCTCCCCCACCCCCCATCCACCCTTAGTTTGTTCTCTGTATTTAGGAATCTCTTATGGCTTGCCTTCCTACCTCCCTGTAACTATTTTTTACCCTTCCCTTCCCCCATGGTCTTCTGTTAAGATCCACATAAGAGTGAAAACATATGATATCTGTCCTTCTCTGACTGACTTATTACAATCAACATAATACCTTCCAATTCAAACCACATTGCTACAAATGGCAAGATATCATTCTTTCTAATTGCAAAGTAGTATTCCATTGTATATATAAACCACATCTTCTTTATCATTCATCAGTTGATGGACATTTAGGCTCTTTCCATAACTCAGCTATTGTTGAACGCACTGCTATAAACATTGGGGTACATGTGTCCCTATGAATCAGCACTCCTGTATCTCTTGGATAACCATTTTAAAGTGCACAAGTTAGTGACATTCAGTATATTTACAGTGTTGTGCAGCCATCATATCTAGGGTTCCCCTTTAACTTTAGGAACAATATCACTTCTATTCAAGGTTTACTGAAGTTTCTAGCCAGGGCAGTCAAGAAAGAAAATAAAATAAAAGACATCTAGATTGGAAAGGAAGGAGCAAAACTACATTTATTTTCTGATGATTTTATATGGCCCTTGAACAATACATGTTTGAGCTGCATGGGTCCCCTTATATGTTATATATATATATACATACATATACATATATATATATATATATATATACACACACACACAACATAGTACTATAAATGTATTTTCTCTTCCGTCTTATTTTCTTAACATTTTCTTCTCTCTCGCTTACTTTATTATAAGAATACAATATATGATACATCTAACATACAAAATATATTTTAATCAACTGTTTCTGTTATTGGCAACAATAACAATTATCTAAGACTAACAATAGGCTATTATTATGTTAAGTTTTGGGGGAGTCAAAAGTTATATGTGGATTTTCAACTGCATGTGTGTGGGAGGGGGGCAGTCAGTGGACTGTTCAAGGGTCAACTGTAAAAGATATTAAGGAATCAAAAAACAAACTACTAGAATGAACAAATGGGTTCAAAGATGGCAAAGTATAAGGTCGATATACAAAAATCAGTGGCGTTTCACATACTAGGAAGGAACAATCTGAAAATGAAATTAACAATTCTACTTATAATAATGTCAAGAATAGCATACTTAAGAATAAATTCATCAAAATAAGTGGAAATTAATAGTATAAAAAAACCAAAATATTGTTGAAAGAAATCACAGATGTAAATGAATGGAAATACATCCCATATTCATGGCTTGAGATACTTCATACTGTTAAGATAATAATACTTTTGAAATTGATCTATATATTCAGCATAATTGCTACCAAAATCCCAGCTGTAGTCTTTGTAGAAATTGACAAGCTGATTTTAAACTACCTATAGAAATTTAAGGGATCCCAACTAACAAAAGCAATCTCGAAGGAATAGAACAGAGTTTCAGAGGAGATCGGGCGCATTCAGGGTGATGGGCATGGAGGAGGGCACTTGTGGGGATGAGCACTGGGTGTTATATGGAAACCAACTTGACAATAAACTATTAAAAAAAAAAGAAATATATAAAAGAAAAAAAAGGAACAGAGTTTTAGGATCCATATGTCCTGATTTCAAATCTTACTACAAAACTACAGTAATCAAGCTAGCATGATATAGGCATGAAGATAGATATCGGCCAATAGAACAGAGTTGAAAGTCCAGAAGTAATCCCTCAAATTTGTATACAGCTGAATTTTTGTAAGATGCCAGGACAAATCAATAGGAGAAATAAATCTTTTGAACAAATGGCTCTGGGAAAACTGAATATCTATATGCAAATGAATGACATTGACTTTTTTGTGTGTTAAATACACAAAATTAACTTAAATAGACAATATATTGAAAAAGCAAGCCACATAAAAAAATCCTTGATATGTATACTTAGCAAGGAACAAAAATGTAGAATATAAAAAGAATTTTTTATAAATCAATGTTAAAAAGCAGACTACCCAATAAAATATCAGCAAAACATTGGGAACAGGTTCTTTACAAGAAAAACTACCCAAATGTTCAGTAAGTATAGGCAAAAGATATAAACTACATGAGTTATCAGACAAATGTAAATTAAAGCCACTGCACACTATTTCTACATACCCATAAGAATGTGTACAGTGGAAAAGATGGATAGTAGAAGTGTTGGTGAGGAAGTGAACCACAGTTTTCTATATGTTACAGAAATGACTTGTAAAAAACCAAGCACTTTATCTAACTTTCTGGTATTATCTATTAATGCTGAAAATACACATACATCGTGGCCCCCAAATCCCTTTCTCTAGTATATACACAAGTCCCAAAATGGAAACAACTCAAATGTCAGTCAAAACTAGAGTGGATGAATATATTAAAAATGTATAGACACATTTGAAAATTATAATTTTCAAATGTGATGATTTAACCATTACAATACTGAATAAAAAGTGGAATACAAAAGAGTACATATTGTATGCTATATATTAGGATAAAAAATGTCTAAACTAGTCAATGGTGTTACAGATCAAGATAAAGGCAATAAAGTAATATGGTTAAAGATATCGTTTTCAAGTCATGCATGTCTGATATTAAGTTTTAGGGCAGTAGTTTACTTGATCTCTCTGGGCTTTGTTTTGCTCTCTGTATAAAATATTAGTGCTCTCATAAGAGGCTTGTAGGGAGGATTAAATAAAAGATGTATTTAAATGCTTAATTAATGTCAGCTGTGATACACACCATTCAGTAGTTAAGCAGTTTGGTAATTCTTCTGAATTCTTCACACATTAAGAACATGGTGGTATTAAGAAAGTTCATATAAATATATGTCAATATCAGTACCAGATAAAGAGACTTACTGAAGAAAAAGATGGAAGATAAGAAAAGTTCTTAAAGCCCAGTGAAGTGGGCTCAAAAGTCTCACAAACTTGCTGTGAATATCATAGGGATTTTCTTATAGAAACATTAATACGCAGAATTCAGAGAACTGGTAGGGGGAAAAATCAGGTGAAGAGAAAGATGATAGGAAATGTAAAATGAGATAAGATGAAAAATCAGGTGAAGAAAAAGATGATAGGAAACATAAAATGAGATAAGATGAAAAATGATGTCAGCAGTAAGAGCTGTCCAAGTCACAACTTTTATTTTTATTTTTTTATTAAAAAAATTTTTAATGTTTTTTATTTATTTCTGAGAGATAGAGATAGATAGATAGAGCGAGAGAGAGAGAGAGAGAGAGACAGCATGATCAGGGGAGGGCCAGAGAGAGAGGGAGACACAGAATCTGAAAGAGGCTCCAGGCTCGGAGCTGGCTGTCAGCACAGAGCCTGATGCAGGATTCGAACCCACGAACTGTGAGATCATGACCTGAGCTGAAGTCAGACACTTAACTGACCGAGCCACCGAGGTGCCCCAAGTCACAACTTTTTTTTCTTACATATAGTTTATTGTCAAGTTGGTTTCCATATAACACACAGTGCTCATCCCCACAAGTGCCCTCCTCCATGCCCATCTCCCCACCCCCGACATCCATCAGTCCTCAGTTTGTTTCTCAGCATTCAAGAGTCTATCATGGTTTGCCTCTCTCCCTTTCCCCCACCATTTCCTCCCTTCTTCTCCCTCATGGTCCTCAGTTAAGTTCCTCCTGATCCTCCTATACATGCAAACATATGATATTTGTCCTTCTCTGCCTGACTTATTTCGCTCAGCATAACACCCTCAAGGTCCATCCATGTTGCTACACATGGCCAGATTTCATTGTTTCTCATTGCCATGTAGTATTCCATGGTATAGATAAACCACATCTTCTTGATCCATTCGTTGGATCCATTGTCCGTTGATGGACACTTAGGCTCTTTCCATGTTTTGGCTATTGTTGAGAGTGCTGCTATGAACATTGGGGTACCCAAGTCACAACTTTTAAAAGAGATATGTTTATAGCCCAACGAGTGCCCATGACAATGGGTTTAAATTAACCATACTAGCGAGGGTTCTTGGCTCTAAAAATTTTTTGAAGAGCATGTTTCATGTCCCTGTTCCTCAGGCTGTAGATGAAGGGGTTCAGCATAGGGGTGACCACCATGTACATCACAGAAGCAATTATGTCCTTGTCTTTGGAGTTGCCTGATGAAGATAAAAAGTAAACCCCTGCAATTGTCCCATAGTATAAACACACCACAAAGAGGTGGGAGCCACATGTAGACAAGGCTTTGGAGAATCTTTTGAAAGAGGGGACCTTTAGAATGATCCCTGCCATGTGGATATATGAGCCCAAGATACCACTCAATGGCAGAATGAAGATCAATCCTCCTTCAGTGAGGATAAGCAGCTCATTGAGGGAGGTGTCTGAGCAGGAAGACTTGAGCATAACAGCAAGATCACAAAAGAAGTGTGGGATGACAGTGCCTGCACAGAAGGACAACTGGTCCACGAGGAGGGTGTGCAAAAGAGCTTGGACACAAGAGAAGAACCAGGATCCAGCCACTAGGATGATACAAAGCTCCTCCCTCATGGTGGTGGTGTAGTGGAGAGGGTGACAGATGGCCACATACCTGTCATATGCCATCACTGTGAGAAGAAAGCTGTCAAGGCAACCAAAAAATATAAAGAAATACACCTGTGAAATGCACCCCACATAGGGGATGGAATGTTGCTGAGTCTGCATATTCATGAGCATCTTTGGAACTGTGACAGATGAAAGGGAAATGTCAGAGAAGGCCAAGTGGCTGAGGAAGAAGTACATGGGGGTGTGGAGGCGAGAGTCCAGCCTGATGAGCAGGATGATGAGCAGGTTCCCCAGCACCGTGGTCAGGTACATGCCCAGGAACAGGGCGAAGAACACGCCCTGCTGCTCTGGCCGGATGGGGAGCCCCAGGAGGAGGAACTCGCTGCTCTGGTTCTCAGGCCTCATGCTGTACTTTTATGCTGGGGATAAAGAAGGGTTGGGAATATCAGGAGAATGATAGGGACACAATCCATACTGTAATATTCTGAGAAGACAATGCATTTTAAACTACATTCCTATTAATTTCTCACACCTGTGGATACATGCATCTTCACTCCCAGTCTGGCTGTAAGAAAACCTTAAAACCAAAAGCAGCCAACAAGACCTCATTGTACAGAAGCAAGAGGACATTCACCTTTCCTTTTCTTTTTAAAAATTTTTTAACGTTTATTCATTTTTGCGACACAGAGAGAGACAGAACGCGAGTGGCGAAGGGGCAGAGAGAGAGAAGGAGACACAGAACCTAAAGCAGGCTCCAGGCTCTGAGCTGTCAGCACAGAACCCAATGCGGGGCTCGAACCCACGAACTGTGAGATCATGACCTGAGCTGATGTCAGACGCTTAACCAACTGAGCCACCCAGGTGCCCCAACATTCACCTTTTTATTTGCCCATTAATTGTTGAACATTGAGACTGAAACTTGTCCTCTACTAAGGACTGAGAATGCAATGGTGGAAAGGAAAAGCAAGGTTGCTTCTTTCTATGAATGTGTTTTATGCATATATTGGCATAATTTATGTCACTGAGACAGAACCAAACCAAACAGTTCGCTGTGGCAGAAGTAGTAGATGACCCTTGGCAAACTAGTATCATTTGTTTCTGCCTTAAAGTGACAGGTGATGCCATCACTGAGGTGGCCTTGTTGGAGTGTTATCACATTCTTCCTATGCACCTGGCTGAATCGCATTGACCTATAGCTGTAAGCTCGCCAGCACTCTAGAAATGGGGGGGGTCATTTAAAACCCACCTGATACCAGAATAACTCCTAAACCAGAATACCTCACAGTCTTCCATAATAATGATACACATTTGGGAGATTGTACTATATGCCAGGCACTATGCTTAAGAGCTTTATTTATGTTTCCTAATTAAATATATACATCACCCTCCCATTACCAGATAAAATCTTCGCTGTTTCACTAAGAATTAGGGTTATTTTCTCATTTAAGCCATTAGGAAATAGAAACATAAATTATATAAATTTCATAGGTAACAAGTAGCTGTTAGAAGTAAGATACATATATGTCCATATATACATAAGGGGAGACACATACACAGATGGGAATGTTTATATACATATATATATGTCTATCCCTATATTCCATCTGTGCATATACGTATACTTAGGTGGAATATATGTAGACATACATATGGGATATAGATATATCTATACACACACATATATGAAATATACAGTTAACCCTTAAATAACATGGGGGATGGGGCACTGACTCCCCTACACAGTCAAAAATCTACATATAACTTACGACTCCCCCAAAACTTAATTACTAATAAATAGCCTACTGCTGACCAGAAACCTTACCAATAACATAGTCAGTTAATACATACTTTGTATATGTATTATCTACTGTATTTTTACAATAAAGTAAGCTAGAAAAAAGAAACTATTAAGAAAACCATAAGGATGAGAAAGCACATTTATAATATTGTACACTGCATTTGTCAAAAAAAATCCATGTATATCCATGTATAAGTGGACTTGTGCAGTTCAAACCCAAGTTTAAAGGCCAATTTATATATGTTTGTGTACATACATATATATATATATACGATATGTATGGATATCCATATGCATACTGTGCATGTATACATCCCTATTAATAAATACATATTTAACTATAGTCCTATATGTATAATTGCCATTTTCTGTAGATCAAATATTGGTTAGCTCATATAGTACAACTTAATATTGTGTGATCAGCATCCATAGTTTTAACAAGGAAATCTCCCATTTCACTGGTTGTGAGTGCCAGACACACTATGTTATTTTAGGGCTGCAAGGAGTCTGAAGTTGTCCAAAATTTTCTCGGTGCCCTCTCTAGATAATTCCTGTCATTTATATTTATATATCTTCCAGTTGACAAAAGGCTCTCACATACATTAACTTCTATTCAAGTCATAAAAACATATTGAGGGCCTGTAAGCCTCCATTTTGTAGATATGTAAACTGAGGACAAAAGGTTGAGTGACTTTCCCAAGGTCTTGATGCCATTTGGTGAAGCTCTGTGCTCTAACTTCACTCAACAACACGCCTAACATGTCTTTGCCTGGGACGTTAAGTCAATGTGCAAGAGTTACAAAACTGAGCCACTCAGTCATTCAGGTATATGAAAATGATAACAGACCCTTTCTTGGAAATAGTCACTTATAGCAACTGGTTATCTCTGTTTATGTTACCCCAGAAGGAGGTCACTTAAGGCACTATTTTAAGTCACGTGTGCAAATCAGAAGCCTCCAAACACACATACAAACACACACACACACACACACACACACACACACACACTGCTGATTTGAAGATTTCAGTCACCTGTGTCTGAGCCCCATCCATAAGGGAAAGATAGCCAGTATGTGGTTTATTTCATAAATACCAATATACATACAAGTTATGAATAAAAAACACACAAGGCAGGATCTACACAATATGCAATAATGTATCACCCACAAATACATTCACAATGCACCGTTAAAATACAAGCATATAATACCTGGTAAAATACACAACTCACATATGCATAACTCATCACTATATATACACATCACCAAAAACAAAGAAGGCCATACACAATATCAAAATCTCACAAGAAACAGGCACCAACCACACATATGCACACTTAGTCACTCTCCCTACCAGCAGCACACACCTTCCCATCACTGAAAAGTGTGCTTCAGGCCCTTCCCAGCAAAGGTAGTCATTGTAGGGGCAATTAAGCCTATTCAGGGACAGGTACTGTCATTAAACCACCATCACCAACCCATGCACATGGCAACATACACATAGTAACAGACACACAGACAAAAGGAAACAACACACATTCCTGCTCTTATATTCACGTGTGTCACTCACAAGCAGCTTGCACACACAGTACCACATGCTGCTGAGGACAGATTTGAGCCCTCTCTGACTTTGGTTCCTTGATGAGGTTGGATATCCTTATCCCCAGCAGTGGAGACAACAGTCTTACCTCTAATGCTGAGCTCTCATCACAGCTGTGATGCCCCTTGCCCCATTGGGAGAAATACCACTGTCATAACAACAGAGGCAAATATTAAAGATCATAAACATGAATCAGAAGTCCCTAATCATGTGTTGGAGGCTGATAACTTGGTCTACATGCACTAAAACTCAGCCCAGATTGGGTCTAACTGGGGAAAAGAATCAGGCTGTGAATCAATTACATAGTACACATACAAACACAACTACCAAACAACAGGAACACAAGCATATACAATGCATGCAGACACACACACACTCATGAAGACAGAGATGCTCATATACAAACCCACAAGTACATAGGCAGATCCATCGCCAAGTGCAGCTTTCCAGCTCCTTCTGACCTGTGCTCATCGTTGGTGAGTTCAAACACTTCCTCCAGACTGTTGCCAAATTCTCTGCTTCTCTTCAGAATAAAGGAGGAGCCATTGTTGGTTAATTGGCCAATTTCTTCCTGCCATATAGAGAACAACATGTCCAGGAACCAGAGGGGACTGGAGTCACAAGGGACAGTGTCTCTAATGCCAGGGATGTCTTGGACTTATTTTTTCTTGGGCATAGTTCCAAGCTCAGACCTTTCTGGGGCTTGGTTCCAGTGGGATCAGCTTTGACTTCATGCTTAGAAAAAAATTATAAAGATGATAGAATGAATTCTCGTATGCCCTTCACCCACAGTCTTTCACAAAAATTAACATTTTACCATGTATGTGTGTGCACACGTGTGTGTGTGTGCACGTGTGTGTGTGTGTGTGTGTGTGTGTGTGTTAAAGATTCTGGGATTCTGGCTATAGACCTTTCATAAGCACACCACAGTGCATATTATCAGGGGGCACATACTTTGGTTCAGAGGTCAGGGGCTGATAACATTTCACATAGGAAGAGAATTTAAAAGAAAGACTGAGCCACAAAGGACTCCTGGGGAAGCTGGGTGAGTACAAGCTACAAGTTGCCTTGGACAAAGCAGAGAGAGGGTTTGGGACTTTGTAGTAGTAAAAGGGTAGGAATGGAGAAAAGTTTATGCTGGAGAAGCAGACTATGTGTTGTGCTATCTGAGAACTTTTGTCTGTGTTATTTATCAGCATGCAATAATAAGTGCCCTTATGGGAACAAATGTCCCCTTGGCTGGCCATCAGATAATCCAAGACTAGGCAATTATTAGCAACCATTGCTGCTGGGGAGGATTGTCTCTCATTCAGGGCTTACAGGGCTGTGGCAGTTTGAATTATATATGGATATTATTTTAGACATTTCCTGATTGGCATTAATTCTTTTATTATGTTGTATAATATGGTGGCTTCCAAGGCAGCACCAGTGACCTCCATTGTCAGCAGAATGAGGACACTTGACAAGAATATAATGCACCTGGTGGTGAGAAAAAAATTGGTGAGTTTTGTTTTGGAGTATGAGCCCAAAATGCAAATAGTAAAAATCAAATTATGTAGAGAAGCCTGAGTAAGAGAGGAATAAGTTAGTACAGGAGTAAGGTATATTGAAGAAGAGAATAATCCTCATGGGCTAGATAGAATCTTAGACTGAGTATTTGGCATGAACAACCAAGAACTACTAAATTTCCAATAAGCGTTTTTATCAAGACATAATATGGGACTATTCTGAATAGCTGAGTTAGTATTTTAAAGGGAAGACCAGGAGAAAAACAAGGTTTAGGTTCAGAGATGTGGTCCACCAGATAGATAGGAGCTGGGTTGTGTTATTGTGAAGGTTTCTTTAAGATCATTTGGACAGTCTACAACATGGCCAAGCAGTTGAGGGGGTGCTTTATGGCATACCCAACAATTTGTATCCTTTAAAACATGGCTATTCACTCAGTAAGGCCTACGTAACAATTATTTTATAATGCATCCTTCAGTGCTGGTTGTATATCAGAGATGGGGGCTAGAAGTGCAGACATCTGAAGAAAAAGCAGAGAGTGGAAGGATGGAAGGAGAGGGGAGAGTAGCTTGTGATGGTTAAGGTTGAATTGGGAAAGAAAGGATATGGAAAGCAGGACAGTGTTTAGAGGGTGAGGGGAGCACTGGATAGGAGATATGCAAGGGACTTGAGCTCATGGAAGCTTCCACCTGGATGAGTCCAGTGGGTAGATCAAGATCACCATCACAAGTAAGTCCAGCTATGGGTCTGATGCCATCATCAGGGATGAGTCCAGCTGTGGGTCTGATGTCATCCAATGGCCCGTCAGGCTGTCATGGCATTGGTTGAGGGTGAGGTCATGGATATCACTGGGTTTACAATAATCTTGGGCTGACGTTAACACTTCAAGGCATAAAACCTTGTTGGTTGAGGACTCACAGAAATGTATAAATATAGTTGAAAAATGAGGGACTCAATGAGCCAGAAAAAAATGCTGCTATATTGGCATCATTTGGAGATAAACTAATTCCAAAGAGACTTGTTGTATGCATCCTTACATTAGGCTTCCATTGCCCTTTCAATATTGGCCTGGTATTTTGAGGAACAAGTTCTGGGAATAGGTAAGAAGCCTTCGGGACCATGTTACATAATTGTTTGTGCCATGGGACGCAATGGATATTTTCCTTTATAACCCTCAGGATCAGGGTTTTTATTGCCATAGAGGCAGTGGCAGTGGTATTTTAGGATCTGGTGAGATATCCTGACTATTCTTGGGAATGCAGACCTCATACACCATACAGTGGCTGCTCTTTGTCTCTCTGTCTCTCTCTCCCTTTCCCTCTCTTTAAAAATGATGGCTCATTCATAAGCAACCACCCAATAGGCTTGTATCTGGAATTAATTGAGTTATTTGATCTTCCCTTTCAGTCTGACCATGTCATTTGAAATGTTAGATTAATTGTTTTATTTTCATTCTACTTTGCCTTGTTCATTCCTGCTTATTTATCTGAGAAATTGAAAGATAGCATAGTCAAAACTATACAAATAGGTGTGCTCATCTTCTCAACTTTTCCACCTCATTTCTGCCCACCCATTGTAGCTAACCAAACTCACTAGGTTATTATTTTTAGTAAACATTTTATTGTGGAATAACCTTAGATACCTAGAAAAGTCATAAAAGTAGTAGAGACTTCCTATGTGCTTCACCCAGTTTCTCTTGTTGTTAACATCTTACACGTCCATGGTATATCAGCACAACTAAGACATTAGCATTGATAGATTACCACTAACTAAACTACAAACTGTTTTGGATTTTACCAGTTTTTCCACTAATGCCCCAATTTTTTTTTTATGTTCTAGGATCCAACTCCAGATGGCACATTGAATTTAGACCCATAATCTTTTATTTATTTATTTATTTATTTACAAATAATTTATTGTCAAGTTTGTTTCCAAATAACACCCAGCGCTCATCACCACAAGTGCCCTCCTCCATCCCCATCTCCCCCCTCCCCCTCCCACACCCATGAGTCCTCAGTTCTCAGCATTCAAGAGTCTCTCATGGTTTGCCTCTCTCTCTTTCCCCCACCATTTCTCCCCTTCTTCTCCCCCATGGTCCTCCATTAATTTCCTCCCAATCCTCCTATATGTGCAAACATATGATATTTGTATCTTTTAAATACTCTTTCTGTATTTGAAGAAATGCCCACATCTGCTAAAATCAGCTTCTCTGGGTTTGTAACTAAAAGTTCTGACGATAAGGAAAGAGTAGACTCAGGAAGGCGAGGAGAGGTTCCTGAGCCATCATCAAGAGATAAGAGAGCATACTCAAAAGAATGGGGTGGGGAGTCAATTTCAAACTCATTAGTTTCTGATTTATTATTCTTGTAGTTCTTTATACTCAAATGAGCAGATATATATGCACATTTTATTATTTCCTCATCATTTATTTTACTTACAGCTGAGATTTACACATAAAATGGTTATCATTTTGATCATTTTAAAGTGTACCATTTAGTGGTGGTATGTACATTCATTATGTTGTGCAGTCATCAACACTGTCTGGTTCCAAAACTTTTTCATCCCCCCAAACAGAAAACCATGTGCTCATTAAGAAGTCATTCCCTATTCCCTACTCTCCACAGTCCATGACAACCATTAATCTTCTTTCCATCTCTGTAGATTTGCCTATTCGGGATATTTAATATAACCAGAATCCTATGATATACCCTTCTGTGTCTGCTTTCTTTCACCAGGCATAATATTTACAAGGTTCATCTATGTTGTATAGCATGAATCAGTACTTCATTCCTTTACATGCCCAAATAATATTTCACTGTATATATATATATACTACATTTTGTTTATCCATTTATCTGTTGGGGACATTGAGATTATTTCCACAGTATGACCACTGTGAATACAATCACTACATTTATGTACAAATATGTGTTCTATTATCTGTTTTCAATTATTTTGGATATATACCTAGTGGTGGAACTACTAGATCATATGGTAATTCTCTGTTTAAGTCATTGAGGAAGAACCAAACTATTTTCCACAGTGGCTGCTCCAGTTGGATCCCACGAGCAATGTATGAGGGTCCCAGTTTCTCCACATCCCTTTCAACACTTGTCACCTTTCATTAAAAAAAATTATGGTCATCCTGGTGGTTGTGAAATCATGGTTTTGATTTGTATTTTCATGGTGGTTTCTGATCTACATTTTCCTAATGACTAATGATGTTGAGCATCTTTTCATGTGTTGATTGGCCATTTGAATGTCTTCTTTGGAAAATATCTATTCAAGTCTTTTGCCCATTTTTAAATTGGGCTAGTTTGTCTTGTAATTCTGTCAAATTTTGCTTGGTTACTGTGTGTATGGAATATCTATTTCCATTCTTTTATTTTCGCTGTGTCATTGGATTTAAAGTGAGTTTCATAAAGAGTATATAGATGGATCATGTTTTATTTTAAATCTAACCTGCCAACTTCTGCCTTTTAATTCAAGATTATAATCCATTTACACTTAAAATAATTGCTGATAAGGAAGAACTCACTTCTGCCATTTTCCAGTTTGGTTTCTACATGCTTTATATATATTTTTTATTCCTAAGTTTTCCCTTACTGCCTTCCTTTGTGTTAATTTTTTAGTGTATCTTTTTTATTTTCATTTAATTTCTTTTTTCTGTATATATAATTGTCTCAGTAGTTGCCTTGAAGATTACAATTATCATCTTAAACTCAGTCTAGTTTGAATTAGTATCACATAAACTTTAATAGCATACAAAAATTCTGATCTTCTGTATCTCCATCCCTCCCCCTTTATATTGTTATTTTCACAAATGACATCTTTATACATCAAGTGCTCATTGACATAGATTTGTAGTTATTGTTTTATGAGTTTGTTTTTTAATCATATAGAAAACCAAAAAAAGAGTTGCAAAAAAGGTTCAATAATACTGGCTTTTATATTTACCTATGTAGTTGTGTTTACTACTGTCCTTTATGTCTTTATATGGTGGTAAGTTACCATCTAGGGTCTTTCTTTCTCTCTTCCCTTCTTTCTCCCCCTTCCTCCTTTCTCCTTCCTTCCTTTTACTCTTTCTTTCTTTCCTTCTTTCTTTCTTAATGCTCTATTTTTTGAGGTTATTTATTTTTTTGAGTCATTTATTTTTAATTTGTGTTTTTTAAATTCCAGTTAGTTAACATCTAATTAGTATTAGCTTCAGGTGCATAATTTAGTGATTCAACACTTCCATACAACACCCTGTACTTGTCACCCATTTATTTTTATTTTATTTTATTTTTTTAATGTTTTTTATTTCTTTCTAGGAGAGAGAGAGAGAGACAGCGTGAGCAGGGGAGGGTCAGAGAGAGAGGGAGTCACAGACTGAAACAGGCCCCAGGCTCTGAGCTGGCAGTCAGCACAGAGCCCGATGCTGGGCTCGAACCCACGAACCGCGAGATCATGACCTAAGCGAAAGTCAGACGCTTAACCGACTAAGCCACCCAGGCGCCCCACTTGTCACCCATTTAAACCATCTCCCACCCAACTCCCTTCTGGTAACCATCAGTTTGTTCTCTATAGTTAAGAGTCTATTTTTTGGTTTTCCTCTCTCTTTTTTCCTGCTATGATCATTTGTTTTGTTTCTTAAGTTCCACAAATAAGTGAAATCATATGGTATTTTTCTTGATCTTTCTATTTCAATCTGGAGGACTCCTTTTAGCATTTTCTTATAGGGAAGTTCTACCTGAACAAACTCAGTAATTTTTTATTTGAAAATATTTAAATTTCTCCTTCAGTTTTGAATATTTTTGCCAGATATAGAATTCTTGGTTGATAACTTTTTTCTTTCAGCACTTTAGATGTATCATCTCGTTGCTTTCTGATCTCCATCATTTCTTTTATTTTTTTAATGTTTATTTTTGAAAGAGGGAGAGAGACAGAGCATGCGTGGGAAGGGGCAGAAACAGAGGGAGACACAGAATCTGAAGCAGGCTGCAGCCTCTGAGCTGTCAGCATGGAGCCCAACGTGGGGCCCAAACCCACAAACTGTGAGATTATGACCTGAGCTGAAGTCAGATACCCAGCTGACCGAGCCACCCTAATGTCCCAAGTCTCCATGGTTTCTGATGAGAAATCAGCTGTTAGGTTTATTAAGGGTCCATTGTACATAATGGTTAGCTTCTCTCTTTCTAGTTTTAAGATGTTCTCTTTGTATTTCAACAGTTTGGTTATAATGTGTCTCAGTGTGGATCTCTGAGTTTATCCAATTGAAGATCATTGAACTTCTTGGATGTAGATTTACGACTTTTATCATATCTGGGAAGTTTTGAACACTATTTCTGGAATATTATTTATTCCTCTTTCTCTCTCTTCTCTCCTTGAACTCCCAAAATTCATATGTCAGCATGTTTGCTGGTGTCCTTTAGGTCTCTTAGGGTCTGCTTATTTGTTTTTCACTCTTTTCTCTTTCTGCTCCTCAGACTGGATGATTTCATTTGACCTACCTTCACATTTGCTGATTCTTTCTTCTGTTTGCTTAAATCTGCTGTTGAACCCCTCTCATAAATTGATCACTTCAGTTACTGTGCTTTTCAGCTCCATCATTTCTGTTTGTTTGTTTGTTTGTTTGTTTGTTTTTTAACTTTCATCATTCTTTAGACATTCTCTATTTGTTAAGGTATTGCTCCCTCCATTCCTTTAGCTCTTTGAGTATATTTATTTAAAGACAGTTGATTTAAAATCTTTGTCTAGAAACTCCAATGTCTGCACCTAACTTAGGGTCAGTTTCTGTTCATTTCTTTCTTCCCTTGAATCAGAAATACATTTTTGTTTCTTTGCATGCCTTGAAACTTTTTGCTAAAAAACTGAATATTTTGAATATTGTGACATGGTAACTCTGGAAGTTAAAATTTCCTCTTTCTCTGGGATTTGTCTTTGTTATTTTCTGTGAGTATATGCACATGAAGAATAGGGATGCACACATATCCCTGGGGACAAAACGTATCAAATCCAAAACCAGCATTGTGTTGTGCATTCCCTCCACCTGTGCTCCTTGGTGAGTGCTTGCCTAGGGAGATGAAGTATGAGGCTAGAACAGTTACTTCATATTTGTCTTTGGGGATCAGCCTGGAAAATCATACTCCTGGTACCCAGAACCTAAAAGTACTACTGTGACAGTGTGCACAAGGCTCATCCAACCTGTGCTGCTGCAGTCTGGGTTGTTGCTCTTTGGCTGGCCCAACCTAGCCATCAGCCCTGGGGCCTCTGATATCTCATTTGCTATGGTTAAGAAGAGCCTGCATGCCTAATCAAGGTCCTGTGAGGCCAAAAGGGAGAATACAGGTGCAGGGGGTTTTATCTCTGATGGTGAATTCTGTCTAAGCTAGATAAATGAGGTGAGTGCACCAAGGAAAAGGAAGTTATGTTTTTCCCTCTGAGACCCACAAAAAGTCCCAGAGTCCCTGCTTCTTGTCTCTGCCAGTCCTGGGATGGGTAGTGGAAACTACTCCCTTAGAGAGAGTCACTTATGTCTGCCTCTAGCAGAGGAAGAGGTTAAGTGAAGGTAACCTGGATTCAGGGTGTTTAAGGGTACCAGAAATGCTGTATATACTACCTTCTTCATGATAGTATGCAAGTGACTTAATTTCACTGAATTTCGAAAACTCATTTGTGAAGTATATGTAATAAAATTAATGAGTTTTCAATTATATGCTGCACTGGGTTGTGCTTAGAGTTCAAAGTGGAAGCTCTTACTGGTTGCAAATTAGATGGGCTTAGGATATGGGAGCCAGAGTATGTGTATCTTAATGAACATGTAGCAGTGATGGAAGTCTCCTGAAACCCATCTCTCCAACCAGTACCTATCACCTTGCTTTTGATTTTTAATCTCTCTGCCTGATTGCTCTCCTTTCTTGGGTGGATTGAGGAGTAGGGAACCATGTACAGACTTTGGAGGAAAGGTCCAAGAACTTGGAATATAGACATATGTGAATTGGGTGAGGGCATTTATTTTAGAGAAGGATAGAAGCACCAACTCTTTTTTTTTTTTTTTACACTTTTTGACTTGTCTCTTCTCTCCCTCCAGAGAAAATAGTGGCATGGACGAAATCAACCAGTCCAGTGTCACTGAGTTTCTCCTCTTGGGTCTTTCTGAAAGGCCAGAGCAGCAGCCTCTCCTATTTGGCATCTTTTTGGGTGTGTATCTGGTCACTGTCATGGGAAACCTGCTCATTATCCTGGCCATTGGCTTTGACCCACACCTCCATACCCCCATGTATTTCTTCCTGGCCAACCTCTCTTTTGCTGATGCCTGCTCTTCTTCCACCACAGTCCCCAAGATGCTGGTGAACATCTAGACAAGAAGTCAGACCATACCATGAAGGGTGTTTGGCCCAGATGCATTTCTTCATGACATTTGGAGCACCGGATGATCTCCTCTTGGGGGTGATGGCCTATGACCACTATGTGGCCATCTGCAGGCCTCTTTGCTATTCCACACTCATGAGTCCTCTTGAGTTTGTGCTCCTTCTGGAGGCATGCTGGATCCTCACCAACCTCGCTGCCCACTTACATACCCTGCTTATGGCTAGGCTTTCTTTCTGTGTAGGCAACAGCATCCATCACTTCTTCTGTGATGTGGTCCCTCTGCTGCAGCTGTCCTGCTCAGACACCAGCACCAACCAGGTAGCCCTGTTCATTCTAGGCTCCATGATACTCACTGGTCTTCTCTTCCTGGTCATTCTTTCATATGCATACATCATCTCCACCATTCTTAGGGTCTCATCTGCCTCTGGAAGGCAGAAGGCACTTTCCACCTGTGGGTTCCACCTCACCATTGTCTTCCTGTTTAATGGCACAGTGATTAGTGTCTATCTTTTCCCCCCTTCATCACACTCTGGGGGTAAGGACAGGGTTGCAGCCGTATTTTACACTGTTGTGACTCCTTTGCTGAACCCCTTCATATACAGCCTGAGGAACAATGCTATAAAGTCTGCACTGAGTAAGCTTTTTGGAATTCATACATTTTCTTCTCATGAACTTTGATCCTACGTCTGTATTTTGAAATTATACCATGGAGAATCCATGTGTTTATGAAGCAATATCATCCCTTAACATATTTGCTTAGGCTTTAAAAAAATGACCCAGAATCATTCTCTTCAGCTTTAGATGTAACAATGTATGTGGTCAGTGTATTTCATAAAGGACTTGTTCTGTCTTATAAATGTGAATATTTCTCTGGTGTTTGTGTAGGGTGATCTAAGCCAAAGGGGCAAGGTCACTTAGAACTTCTTTTGTTTGTATTCTAATGTGTGAATATTTTTTTCTTAAATAGTTTATTGTAAAGTTGGTTTCCATGTAACATCCAGTGCTCATCCCCACAAGTGCCCTCCTCCATGCCCATCACCCTCCTTCCCCTCCCCCCCACCCATCAGTCCTCAGTTTGGAGGCAAACCATGAGAGACTCTTGAATGCTGAGAACAAAGCTTATTCAATTTTTTATTCTTTGCTATAGTTCACTACCTTTCCATAAAAGTCCTTCTGGACCTGCTACATACTATGTACAGTTCTGTCTTTGAATAATGTTTAGTTAACTTTGACCCATGATTTTCAATTATACTAACAATATTATCAGAGTGAGGCATTCATCACTTCTGAAGAGGCTATTTCTTCTTATCTTTGGCTTCTACTCCTGTTCAAAAATGATAAGCAAGTGGATACTTGCCCACTTGATTTTTCCTTGCTACTCTTCCTTAGAGTCACTCCTCGGTGGGGTTGTATATGGCAGTGGACATTCCAAGCAGTATTCATCCATCCATTTTCAGCTCATTGCAATGTATTATAATTTTGTCCATGAACCAGGTTCAAGTGTTTTCCACCCCAGTAGACCAATGATGTGTGTTGAGTGAAAAGAAACTGAAAAACAGATGGAGAATGTCGGGATCTGTGCTGACCATCCTTGTTTGCTTGTGTTTTCTGACCCACTTGAACCTAATCTCAAATAGAGCATTTATAGTGTATGATGGTTTGCCACTGCACCCTTGCACCCTGTCTTAAGTCTTACAACTGGGTGAGGGATTATGACTTCATATTGTAAAAGCTACCATCGGTTTCTACATACTGTCTTGTTGTTGTTGTTGTTTTTGTTGTTGTTGTTGTTATATAATTTAAGCAATACCCTCGTAGGCTTCCCCTCTACTTAAGCTCTAGAAACACAGCAGTTTATTAGCCACTTCAACAAATCCCTATAGGAGATCTGGCCTTGCGATGCATTTTGATATTTGGTATTTTCATTCATATTGCCTCTGATGATTAAGTGCTGCCACCTGGGCCTCTGCTACTCCAGAATAATGGTATCCCTATCGATACCAGGGAGCCAAGCTCCATGTTAGCATTTTCTGTCAGTTCTGTCCCAAGGGAGAGAGCCCCCAATCAACTTCTCAGTGATTCTGTTGTCTTCCTCACAAGTGTGTTCTTTATTGCTTTAGTGAAAGGAGCATCTCCTGTCCTTTCTTGGGCGCATAGTTGCCTGGTATATTCTCTGGTCTTATAAATCCATTCTAACATGGCCATGTCCCTGAAATTCTGACCTCTTCCTCAGTACTTTGCCAAGGAGTTCTAGCATCTACATTCCATTTGCTGTAAGCACCATCATGTCCAAGCCTATCAATGATCCCAGCAGCGTGTGAGAACTTATTCCAGGTATTTCTGTCTCCTGGGTCTTAGGATAATCCTTCTGCTTTGAACACTTTTACCCCATCCAGCCCAATGTTTCATAACTATCTTGTCCAGTCATTTGTATTCTTCCATTTATGAGTGGTATGTATTAGTGAAATTCTGCTCCCCCCATTGATGAATCAAGTAAATATTCCTGTAGCCAAGACTGTTTTTTCATGTTGGGGCTGTACTGAAATCTGTTCCAAGTTACTAGTCTAGAGAAAATTAGGCAGGCAGACATTTTGAAGAAAGCAACTGTCATCTTGTGTATCACCTTAAGCAGAGCTTTATCAATTACCAAAAGCTCCATAACAAAGGCTCCCCCAAGCTTAGTGTTTAGAAAACAACCACTTACTTAGTTTATATTTCTTTAGGTTAATATTTCAGATTTGGCTCAGCTAGGTAATTCTTTTTGTGGTTTGGGGTAGGCTCATTAATATGTCTGTAGTCAGCAGCCCATCAACTGGGTGAAGCAACTTCAGGAGATTGACAGCTAGTTGTAGGAATAAACTTCTGGTGCCAGAAAATTAGCCTCTGCTTTATTTATTTATTTATTTATTTAGCCTCTTCTTTAAACAGATGTTGGGGATATGTCTTAGTCTTAAGGTTATCTCATGGCTCTGGACAACCTTCTCCTTAAATGAGGCATTTCTTGGCTACTATCCATGCACTCTAGTGATGCCAACTAGGGTTACATTACCAGCAGCAAATCCCTGACTTATCCTACTACCTGAAGTCTAGCCAGATATTGATTTCACCAGAATTCTTGCCTTCTAGTGTTTGAAGATCAGTTGAATCATAAGCATACACTGACCAATGAACGAATGGCCAGGGACCATTTTAGGTGGCAGTACCCAGTTTGCATACTGGGATGTAAAATGGACTACATCAGGAAATGTTTGAACACCCCAACGTCAGGAACATTACATCCCCATCTCAACTCACCTACAGAGCTATAGCTTCTCATTTTCCTTTCTTGACATAAATTTGTACCTTCTGTATTCTGTTCCTCCTGCCTTGAAAAACTTATTTTCTGTCTTGCAATGACATACCCATACTTTAAGACCCATCACAACTGTTACCTCCTCAGTGAAGTCCTTCTAGATTTACCTATCCAAAGGGAGAAGAGAAACTTGCATTTGATGTTTTAAGCAGAGCTTGAAGATTGTAGCATATGTGACAAGCATTGTGCTAAGCAGTTTTACATGTGTTATCTATTTGAATTCTCACAACTGCCTTAGATGATAGTTACTACAGTTACTATTACTATTCACTTGTTTATATTCGGAAACTGAGACAGAGGGGCGTTGGTAACTAGCTAGAAGTCATACAAACAGTGAATGGTGGAATTGATACATAAACCAGGTAGTTCTGATTCCAGTGTAAGTCTTATTTTCACTTAAAAATTATTTTTTTAATGTTTTATTTATTTCTAGGAGAGAGAGAGAGTGAGACAGCGTGAGCAGGGGAGGGTCAGAGACAAAGGGAGTCACAGACTGAAACAGGCTCCAGGCTCTGAGCTGGCAGTCAGCACAGAGCCGGATGCGAGGCTCGAACCCACAAACCGCAAGATCGTGACCTAAGCGAAAGTCGGATGCTTAACCGACTAAGCCACCCAGGCGCCCCTCACTTAAAAATTATTTTAAGAATCTGAATTTCTCAGTGAGATCTCAGAGTTACAATTATGCAGAGAAGAAATGGATGGAATGCAGTGAAGTTTCAAAAATTTCTCCTGGGGATTATTGAAAAATCCTTATCCCCTTGAGAGGATGAATCATTAGCAGCATCCCTAAGGGAGATGCAGTAATAAAACTGATATATTTAAAAATAGATCTTAACATAGATTGTTGGCACTGTGCTGAAAAATGGTGACCTCATAAAAGAAACTCGGTGAAAGCCCCACATAATGTGGTCTGAGTACCATTCTCTGATCATGTGGCTTTAGTCTCGGGACATTTCAGAATATCTAACTAGAGACTTCTGCTCCAGCAGGGGGTGTGCTCCTTTGGCAAAGTGTCAGGATCTCAGAGAGTGTTTATTCTTCCATTCTAGCTTCTGATTTGCCTTGCCCCAACCTCAAGTCATCTGCTAGTATAGAGAGAAGTGTTGATTGGAACTGTGTATGTGAACGATGTGTGGGAAGCAAGAAAAGAAAGAAAATCAGTAATTGAGAGAAATATGTGGATTTCATGTCTATTTAGGCATTGTGTAACCACTAAGGGTACACATTTTAGAATCAGATCTGGGTTCAAATTCTGGTTCTGCCATGAAACTGTGTAACTTCAGATAAGTAATTTAACCCCTTTTTTGAGCCTTGGTGTTTTTTTTTTCTGTTTTTGTTTTTTTTCTGTACAATGCAAATATTTACCTCAAAGGAACATGTTGAATATTACTAAAGATGATAAAAATCTAAGCACAAGACCCAGAATGAGAAAGGTTACGTATTTTTTTCTCCTAGTTCTTCCAGAAACACTAGATGATAGATAATGTATTTTTAATCATTTTTTATTTTAGTATTTGGCATGATGGAAAATATTTGATTACCTCCTTTTATGAGTAGGCAAACTGTGGCTCACTGCCGTAGGTTAGAAAACTAGCAAGAGGCTGATGCAGGACTTAGACAACTCTATAAGCTGATCTCCCCTTCATTCACAGAATGACATCCTTGGCCTCATGGAGATTGCAGTATCCTTCCGCTCAGAAGTCTCCCCAAGGCACTTTTCATATCTTTGTTTCTCAGACTATAGATGAATGGGTTCAGCATGGGAGTCACCACGGCATACATCACTGCTGCAATCCTGTCCTTGCTGGCTGAATCAGCAGAGGAGGGAATGAAGTACACCCCAATAGCAGACACATAGAACAAGCAAACTGCTGAGAGATGGGAGCCGCAGGTGGAGAAGGCCTTCCACTTCCCACTAGCTGATGGGACTCTCACAATAGCAGCCACGATGCGGACATAAGAGATGATAATTAGCAAGGGGATCAAGATGGTCAATGCCCCTCCCCAGTACATCAGCACACACTGGTTGGCATAAGTATTGAAACAAGAGAGCTTCAACAGGGGGAGAAGTTCACAGAAGAAGTGGGGAATGATGTTGTCAGTGCAGAAGGATAACTGAGCCAGGAGACTGGTGTGGGTCAGAGAGTATGACTGAGTGAGGATTAGGGACATGACCAACAGCAGGGTACAGCATCTGGGAGTCATGACCAAGGTGTAGCGAAGGGGATGGCAGATAGCCACAAGCCGGTCATATGCCATCACTGCCAGGAGGAACACATCTAGACCAATGAACCATAGGAAGAAGTAGACCTGAGACAGGCATCCAGCGAAGGTGACGGTATTCCTATGGGCCTGGATGTTCACCAGCATCCTGGGGACTGTGGTAGATGCTAAACACAGGTCAGTGAGGGAGAAGTTGCCCAGGAAGAAGTACATGGGGGTGTGGAGGTGTGGATCAGAGACAATGGCCAATATGATGACAATGTTTCCCAGCAAGGTGAGCAGGTACATGCTGAAGAAAATGCCGAAGAGGAGAGGCTGCTGTTCCTGCTGCTCAGACAGGCCCAGGAGGAGGAATTCAGAAGCACTCAATGTGTGGTTTCCTGGTTTCATGTTCCTGGTGTAACTAAGGAAAAAATAGAGTACGACACTTCAAAAACTTTTCCTGCCCTGATATTGTGCAGGTGGAAACAAAGACATAATTAAAGATGGAATCCGAATATTAATAGACATGCATTATTTCACTGAAATCTGAAAGAACTCTATAAGACATTCGTGGGTTATGCTCATTTTCTTGATTAAGAAATGGAGCCACCTAGAAAAAGATGGAGGTAAAGTTTAAGTCTGGAAATTCTGACTTTAGAGTCTGAGATCAAAGCAATCCTAAAATTTGTATGGAATCCAAAAGACCCCAAATAGCCAACGTAATGTTGAAAAACAAAAGCAAAGGTGGAGGCATCACAATTCCAGACTTTAAGCTATATTTACAAAGCTGTAATCATCAAAGACAGTATGGTATTGGCACAAAAACACACATGTAGATCAATGGAATCGGGCAGAGAACCCAGAAATGGACCCACAAATATATGGCCAACTAATCTTCAACAAAGCAGAAAAGAGTATCCAATGGAAAAAAAGAGAGTCTCTTCAGAAGATGGTGTTGGAAAAACTGGACAGTGACATGCAGAAGAATGAAACTGGACCACCTTATTACACCATACACAAAAGTAAATTCAAAATGAATGAAATACCTAAATGTGAGAGAGGAAACCATCAAAATCTTATGGGAGAAAACAGGTAGCAGCCTCTTTGATCTTGGCTACAGCTGCTTCTTCCTTGACATGTCTCTGGAGGCAAGGGAAATAAAAGCAAAAATGAGCTATTGGGACCTCATCAGGATAAAAATTTATGCACAGTGAAGGAAACAAGCAACAAAGCTAAAAGGCAACCAACAGAATGGGAGAAGATATTTGCAAGTGACATATCAGATAAAAGGCCGATAGTCAAAATCTAGAAAGAACTAAGAGGCTCTTAAATATAAAGAACAAGCTGAGTGTTGCTTAAGGGGAGATGGGGGGGTGGATGGGTGAAATGGGTGATGGGCATTAAGTAGGGCACTTTTGGGAACGAGCACTGGTTATCATATGTAAGAGATGAATTACTTGGTTCTATTCCTGAAGCCAGGACTACACTATACGTTAACTAACTTGAATTTAAATTAAAAAATAATAAAAATGAATGAGTGATTTAATTAATTAATTGAGAAAATAAAAGTAACATTGCCTCACTGGGGAAAAAGTAACTTACCAAATTCAACTCCCCAAAAACAAGTAATCCATTGAAGAAATGGGCAGAAGACATGAATAGACACTTCTCCAAAGAAGACATCCAGAGGGCTAATAGACACATGGAAAGATGCTCAATATCACTCATCACTGGGGAAATTCAGATCAAACCGCAATGAGATACCACCTCACACCTGTCAGAATGACTAAAATTCACAACTCAGGAAACAACAGATGTTGATGAGGATGCAGAGAAAGGGGAACCCTTTTGCCCTGCTAATGGGAATGCAATCTGGTGCGGCCACTCTAGAAAACGGTATGGAGTTTCCTCAAAAATTAAAAATAGAACTACACTATGATCCAGCAATTTCACTACGAGGAATTTATCCAAAGGATACAAAAATGCTTATTCGAAGGGGCATGTGCACCCTATTGTTTTTTTAGCAGTGCTATCAACAATAGCCAAATTATGGAAAGAGCCCAAATGTCCATTGACTGATGAAAGGATACAGAATATGTGGAATATATATATATATAATGGAATACTACTTAGAAATCAAAAAGAATGAAATTTTGCCATTTGCAACACTGTGGATGGACTAGAGGGTATTATGCTTAGCGAAAAAAGTCAGAGAAAGACAGATATCATATAATTTCACTCATGTGGAATTTGAGAAACACAACAGATGAACATGGGGAAGAGAAGGGAAAAGAAGGTAAAAACAGCAAGGCAACTCATAAGAGACTCTTGAATAGAGAACAAACAGGATTGCTGAAGGGGAGGTGGGTGAGGAGATGAGTTAAGTGGGTGACAGGCATTAAGGAGGGCCCCCTTTTTCCAGATGAGCACTGGGTGTCATATGTAAGACATGAATTTCTGAGTTCTATTCCTGAAGCCAAGACAACTAACTTGAATTTCAAGTATGTGTATATATATATATATAAAACCTCTTTACCAACTTACCAACTAGTATATATATATAAAACCTCTTTACCAATCTGCCTTTGATAAAGCACCCAGGACTAATTTATTTATTCATCCCACATTCAATAAGTACTTACTATGTGTCAGTCCCTGTTCACAAGTACCAGAGAAACATAGGTAACGAATACAGCATAGTTCCTGCCCTCTTGTAGATAGTATTCTAGTCAGAGGAGCCATGTAACATTTAAATAGACATGAAAATAGGTGTTAAAGTGAAAACAAAACGTAGCAATGACTAGCAGATCCCTTTAAATTTCATGGCCAACAAAAAACTTGTGGAGGGATGGATAAGAAGGGGCTGGCCAAGTGAAGAATTGGGGAAAGAGTGTTTCCGATGGGAGGAACAGTAAGTGCAAACATGGAAGGAGCACATGTATTTCGGGAAGCGGGAAGAAGGCAAGCGGGGTCAAGTGTAGTGAGCAAATGGGAGAGGGAGGAGAGTGGGCAGGATCGGAAATGGCCAGAGAGTGCAGATTCTCAGAACCATCAGAGAGCCATGGGAATAGGTAGTGTTTAAACAACAGAAGCCACGAGCTAACTGACCCACAGTATGGAAAGAGCATTCCGCTGCTGTGGAGAGAAGGACTGTAGGGTCCAGAATGGCAGCAGGGAGGCCAGTAACGAGACACATGAGGGACCCAGTGAGGTAGCTGGGGAAGTAGAGTGAAGTGGATGGATTTGGGCTTCATTTTAGAAAGTTTAGGGGACTTTGCCCAAGGAACTACAAGTAGTGGATCTGATCTGTAGCAAAAGGCTTTTCACATCTCCAGCTGCACCTGTACCCTAGAGGTAAAAATAGTAAAGCTGTCTAAGTGAACAGGAAAGAATGAAGGTGATTTCTTTTACCCATAGGGGCTGTTTAAAAACTATACAACTAAAAGAAACCGAGAAATGATCTCTAAAACATTTCTTAAATGGCAGAATCCCTGGAATTCCTGGAAACATAAGAAAACTAGGAAGAGAGGTGCCAGAGATGTGGCTAACTCCGTTATTCCCAGAAAGGGAGAGAATGAAAAAGGCAAAGGCTTTCAGGGCCCATTCACAAAATCATAGATATTAAAGATATTTATGATATGTTTACTGTATGCCAATGACTTCTGTAATTTAATCTAAACCACCCATGTACTAAATATATTAACCTTACATTTTTAGATCAGAGAGGCTAACTGACGAGCCTAAGATCACATGGCTAATAAGAGGACAAGTCAATATTCAAACCAAGCTCTCTCTTCTGCCAAACCTGGAAGTCAGTCCATTATGCAATTCTGCTTCCTAAGATAGGCAGATCTATTCTTTCTCATGGGTACTATAGATAATTGTCAACTTTGGTAGTACTTTGGGTATTTCCCACTACTTTGTGAATGTAACCATGTGGAGTAGTCTTATCCTTTAGAATGCCTCTACAGTGGGTCTAGGGAGCCATGTTTGCAATATTTCATCTACTCAAATACCTACTGATTGCCTACCTTATGTCAGAAATGACTGTGGGCATTGGATATTTAAGGTTAATCAGAATAAGCACAGTCCCTGGGCTTGCAGGCTAATTGGAGAACTGACAACAAATAAACAGGTGAATGTATATTTAGAAACTCTGATTAATACTGAAAACAAGAGGTGTGGTAATATCACTGAGAAAGTATAATTACAGGACCTAATTTAGATTAGAGGTCAGGGAGAATTTCTTTGAGAAAGTTAAATATAATTGGGGACCTGAAGTAGTAATTAACTCTATCAGGAGCAGAAGAAAGAACAGTAGGATAGTAAACCTCTTAGCACATGAGAAAGTCCCAAGGTGGTAAAGAGCCTGGTGAGTATGGGAGAACCCATGTGGCTGGAGAATAATGAGTAAGAAGAGTTACATAGTATATGTCCCAGGCTCTCTGGCCACAGATGATGGAACCATGGAGTCCTGTGAATCAAGCTGAGTCCATCGAGTTGTCTTTTCAAAACTTGGAGTTAATGATACAGAGGTTAGCCAGTTAGTTTTGGGATCTGAAGACATAAGCACAAATAGAAATTGAAGTTCCTGTAGAATTAGGAAAAGAAGCAGCATCCTGGCCATAATATCTTCTGTAAACCTTTGTTACAGTGGAACAGAAATGGAGATGCATCTGTAGAGGGAACATTGGAATAAACTTGGAGAAAAGAGCGGTCAGGAGGCATAGCATTCCAGAAAGACATAGAGTAGCTGCCTCCCAGATTTCCAGTACAATTTCATTCTCTAGAGTCTTTTCCCCCCAAACAGGGGGCAGAATGACTCAGCTCTCAGTAGTGTGGACCTGAGTGTAAAAAACTGCCTGGGTCTTCTATAATTTATGGGTAAATTACAAAACGTCTCAGTGATCACAATAGTAAGAAGAATTAGTGAGAACTGGCTTATCTGCCAGGCACTGTGCTAAAACGGCTTTACTTACCTCACCGTGTTTTCACTATCTCATAAGATGAACTCTCTGTTTTTCAGATAAGGAAACTGAGGTGAAGGAATTTGTCCCAAATGAAGCAGCTGGTGAGTAGTAAAGCCCAGACTTGAACTCTGGTCTAATTCAGCACTTAACTCAACCGATCTCAACCAATCTTACACGTTATTGAGCAGTGTGGTTCTGTGGCCAAAACACTTTCTCCTTGGACAATGCAAAGTCACATCACAGCTCCATATAGAGACTCAGTCTGTGCCCTTTATGGAATGAAAAGGAAATCTAGTGTGGTAGGTAACTGCAGGGTAGATGTTTGGAGCCTCAATAAATGGAACTGAGAGGGCCTGAAGGGGCCCATGCTGGGAATATTTACCAGGTTTGGAGGTTCCAGCAATCTCATTAGTGGGAACAGAGGACTAATTGTCTCTG